CTATAAGAAGATTCTACAACAGATATCAATAACACACACGCGCGAAAATGGAAGTCAAACATTAGAGTTTGCACTTCTAGAAATTCAAAAATATATGAAAATTTACAAGAGAGACAAAGTTGCTCTATCATTGGAGGACAAAATCTTTGATAATATATCAGTAAATACACTAAAGGAAATCGCGAATAAAGCCATCTCCACGTATTCGATCATATTATATAAACTTCCGAAGTTTATTGAAAACTCAGAAGAAATTAATAAAATTTTGTCGCAATATCACATGACACCTACGGGAGGTCATGTGGGACAACATAGATTATACTTAAAAATAAGAGAACAGTTCAAATGGAAAAATATGAAAAATGACATTGCCTCGTTCGTAAAAAACTGCACTAAATGTAAGATAAACAAAACATTTAGGCATACAAAGGAAGCGGAAGTAGTCACAACTACTCCAGCCAAACCACTAGAAATTTTATCTATAGACACAGCAGGACCATTCGTAAGGACTGCAAAAGGTAATAGATACATTTTAACAATCCAATGTAACCTGACGAAATACGTCGTGCTAATTCCAGTTCCGACTAAGGAAGCAGCCGTATTAGCTAGAGCATTGGTTTACAATTTTATTTTAATCTATGGTTCATTTTTAGAATTGCGAACTGACCAAGGATCAGAGTACAATAACGAGGTCCTTGAGCAAATTTGCAAACTTTTAGAAATTAAGCAGACATTTGCTACAGCCTACCATCCACAGTCAATTGGAGCTTTGGAACGCAATCACAGATGTTTGAACGAATATCTGAGATGCTTTACCAATACTCACCAGAATGACTGGGATGATTGGGTTAAATTTTACGAGTTTACATTCAACACAACACCTCATACAGAACATGGGTTTAGTCCATATGAGTTAGTATTTGGTAGAAAGGCAAGGTTACCGTATGACTCAAAGACGGACAATGTACAAATTGACCCACTATACAACTTCGAACAATATGACAAGGAACTTAAATTCAGACTACAGAATACAAATACAATAGCCAGACAAAATCTTATCTCCAACAAAATAAAACGACAGACAATATCAAATAACAATATAAATCCAATTTGTTTACATATTGGAGAATCAGTATATATCAAGAACGAGAATCGGAAGAAGCTGGATCCATTCTATATAGGGCCATATATAATTGAAACAGTTGAAGATCCTAATTGCACTATTAGACACCCAATAACAAACAAGAAAACATTAGTGCATAAAAATAGAGTAATAAAAAGTGTTTAAAAAGCGAAAATAAAAACGAACCAAGAGAAAATTACAAAAAAAAAATTGTGAACCCAAGTCGAGAGGCGGAATATTTAAATAAATTTTCGAAATGGTTACACCATTTTCTTTTAGGGGGGAGGTGTAGCATCCGAGCTACTCTCTATATTTTAGAAGGTCTTACGCTGTCCTTTACAATCAGCAGTTAAGCCATAAACTGTAACCGTTGGGTTTTGCAGACTTTCCAAAACATCTGGAAAGCCCAGCCGTAAACAATCATTGGCCATTATCACCCTGACAATGCATTTAGCATTGTCAGGTAAACAACCCCTGTCCTTCGTTAGAATGCGGCGCAATGATTCACCTTAGCGCACGCCCATGTTTATGTTTGGACTTTCTTCTCTACGCCTTCTCCACTCGGGTCAGTAGGTAAAATGTAAACGTAGTATTTAAGTAAGAGGAATACAATAAAACAAAGGCATTAACACTGTAGACACTGAAGGCACGCGTATGCGTTGCTAGTTTTTCTTTCCGACGCCGAAATCTCAAGGGAACATATTTGACATATTTGACTATAAGAATACATAAAAGGTATGTGTGACCGCTTATACATTTCATTTGACCCATGATCTTCATTAACTTTTTGCGAGGCGTTTGCTTATTAGTTGACTTATACATTTTATGAATAATCAGCAATAGAAATTTGCCAAAAGGTATAAGGAGATTTCTATCCGTGTATGCTGACTGTTTAGAACTGCAAAACCTTCTGGAAATCTTTAATGATTGGTGTGAACGTAATTGTATGGTCCTGTGCGTCTTAAAGTGCTGCGTAATTAGTTTCCGTCGTACTAGGACTGCCATTTTGTTTGATTATAACATTGATGGGACAGCAGTTCAACGTGTTGATCACGTTGAAGACCTCGGTGTCATGTTGGATGAAAAGCTCACGTACACTCACCACTTCTCAACCACGATCGACAAAGCAAATCGTCAGCTTGGATTCATGTTCAAGATCTCTAAGGAATTCCGTGATCCTCTGTGTTTTAAAGCCCTTTACTGTCACTACTGGAATTCGCGTGTGTTGTCGGGAATCCCTAACAAGCAGTATGGAGTGCACGATTCGAAGCTATTCAACACAGATTCGTCAGATACGCACTGCGCTATCTTCCTTGGAGTGACCCGCTGAATATACCATCTTATGCTGACCGCTGTCGTTTGTTGGGTTTGGATACCCTTTCTGAGCGACGAAATGTATCGCAGGCTGTCTTCGTTGCTAAAGTCTTGCTCTCAGAATATGATGTTCCTTTGTCGCCATGATTCATCAATACAATGACGTATCTGAACTCTTTAACTTTGACATCAATGCCTCCAGATTTCATCATCGTTTGCTGTCGACCAATTTTTAATGAGTGACTACATTTAGATTTAAGTATTTCATTGAGACTATCAAGTCAGGACTAATAATAATAATAATAATAATAATAATAATAATAATAATAATGTATATATATATATAGGGTAACTACCCCATTTTCGGCCTATTAAGCACAACCCGCACGTAGTCTTTCTTAATTAGCGCAGTTTAGCACCAAACGGAATGTTATTATTACTGATGGCTTCCAAATTTATTTACCTTTCAGTATGTACCGTAAGATTTGATAAAGAGAAACCAATCGTTGAGATATTGTCAAAAGTCTAACACTGCTTCTTGACGCTAAACTCGGCCTACGGATTCTAAACTCGGCATAACGCATTGAAACGCCAATCAATTTACTTCGGCCTATCGGATGAAGATAAAAATTGGTTCGGTCGGAGCGCTTCTTTTGTTTTTGCGAATAATGGGTGAAAACCTTGATATCACGCGTTCTCATTGACTTCGTTCGGTAGCTTATTAGCTAAAGTATCGTACCAAACGCATAATTGACTTGTTAACTCTGAAATCATGGATTTATTTGAAGTTTTCTGCTCGATAGGCCCAAAATGGGCGATTAGGCCGAAGTAGTTCTCTACCCTGTACAATGAATTTCTGTCTGTCTGACCCTTGTGGATTCGGAAACTACTGAACCGATTGGCGAGAAAATTAGTATGTAGGGGTTTTTGGGGCAGGGAAAGGTTCTTATGATAGTTCGAGACCCCTCCTCCTTTATAAATAAAGGGGGGCTCTCATACAAATGAAACAGAAATTTCTGCATAACTCGAGAACTCATCAAGCAAATGAAACCAAATTTGGTATATGGAGGTCATAGAGGGTTGTCCCTTAGATAATAGGGAAGGGGGGGGGGGGCTACGTACAATATAGACAGCAAAAAAAATGTAATATCGATCAATGTAATTCAAGCTGATGTATTTAATAATGATGTAATAGCAAAAAGCAGATACAATATTACATCAATGGATGTAATTTTGTTCGCAAAATCGATGTACATCGTACAACGTTATATTACACAACCGATGGATTGACCAGGTTGCAGCAGTTTGGATGTAATATTCAACTTTTTTCTGTGTAGCATAACATTTTTCGAATATTCGCACTGGAGAAAAGTAATTTTTTTTTAGACTACATTAAAATGAATAGTTCGAGTAGGATTCAAGCTTTAAGCCTGCAACAAATTTTTTTGTAAAATATGTTCAATAAATTGATTTTTAAGTTAGTGGCCTATTGGCTAAATTACCACACACATGTTTAATTTTTTTTTTTGCTTTAAATACGACTTCTTTGTCGATATATAGAGTAAGGTGGAGTAAAAGTTCGTCCTTAGTTGAAACATTAAAATTTATCAAAACCCCAAGCATTTGACATGAAAATAATTTAATACACAGGGTCTTCATCCAAGGTTTACAACTTTCTCTTATAGAACATTAATGAGTTTTTTGTCCAATTTTAGCTAGAACATTTTTTTTTTTCGGAAGAGTGTTCAAACCGAACTTAATGGCAGTTTTTGAAAAGTTTTGCCACTACAATTTGCAATGAATATTTTGCTTGTGATATATATATATATATTGCGCTTACTATTAAAATAATGTTTCACCATGTTTAAAGACAAGCATAGATATGTTGCCAAATGGCGATACTATGCATTTAAGGGTTAAATATCCCATGATGCTGCGAAGGACATAAAGATATGTTCCCCGCTAATCTGATTATCTGAACGACACTTAATTCATTCATTCATTTATTTAACGTCGGTCTCTGTTCCGCAATCTAGTGCCAATCACCGACGGACATCGATTGCCATCCACTGACGACAACCGAATGTGCAGGAAGGCAGCTTCCACACCTGCGTAGGATATCGCGAGGGATATCGCACCCATGCAAACACACGTGGGCCGGGACCAACGGCTTTACTTCCTTTCCGAAGAAAGACGTGACCAGAGATTTTTATGCCTCAGAAAAATCCCACCGACCTCGGCTGGGATTAAACCCAGACCCATTGGGGTGAGAAAGCAGTCATGCTCGAGGTACCAAATTAACCATAACATTATTATTAGGGAAAGATTCTCCTTAAATTCACGGAAGCAAAACAACGATAACTCAGGAGCACCTAATGTCAATAAACCATCATCACTTTTCCGCTACGTCAAGGAACGGCTAGAAAATAGATCGCGTCGAAACATCACAAAACATAAGTTTTTAGGCTCAAAGGGGGGGGGGTGGGTTACCGAGCGGGGTAGTGGACGGAAAACGTCAACCCGAACCGTCAACGCGTCAACCCACAACACATCTGTCAGTTTTCTCCGAAACATCAGCGAGGTGTTACCGATCTACGATTCGATTCAGCAAAGGAGCCAGCGAAGAGGCAAAAGTGTTATTTTTTTCTTATTAGTGCGCGAGCCATTTCACTTTTTTTGGATCTGCGATCGGAGTTTGTGTCGGTGAGGTGGAAAAAAGGTGCGACTATTCGGAATTAAACATTTGGACACATCGAGCCGCGAGAAAAACGGTGAAAAGTTTCGGCGTAAAAGTAAGCGAAAAAGAAGAGGAGCTCCCGTGCGAGTGAGTGTGCTCTCTGTTCGGAGGTGGTGCTCCGGAATAGAAAGGAGAAATTTCCGTAGTTTAATAATTGTGTGTAACCTCCGAGAAGTGAGTTGTGGGGAAGAGCGAAAATATCAGGAATCTGTAAGCATAGCACATCTGGATTACGCGAGTGGAGTGCCGTGAATCGGGAACGGAAGTTCCAGTCTAGGATTGATCAAACCCAGGACGCTACGGGAACGGCAGTGAAGGTGACTGGAATCCGGAAAACATGTCAGAGAAACCAGCACAGAAATTATCGGAGTCGGACGATTTTACCGATAACTCAGTCGATGTAAGTACGGTCGAAAAGATTTCTTATCAAGTTAAATTTAATGGTAGTGGAAGACACAGGAAAGCAACCGAAAAACAAAGTTTGATAAGGAATCCCAGTCCCAAGAAGATTTATTTTTCCTCGGTAGAAAATGGAGGAAGTTTTTTTTCCTCTCGTGTTCCCATTGCAGAAATGACACTTATGGGGATGGATGTCAGTCGAATTTGGAAATTAGTTCAGGTGTGGACTATTGACTGATAGAACATGAGTACTCAATCTGAAATCCGGTTGTTATCATTAGTTGCAGTTTAGTCTAGGAGGAACCATATCTGTGTAGGTTCGTTCGGACTTGAACGTAAACAAACTTGACCTTTCGTTGCATGCATAGCAAATGTGGCTCCTAATAGATTCTTATGTATGAATCGATTACCAATTACCGATTTCAATTGTTTCTAAAGAATAAAAAATCCGGTTTCGCTTGTCCGTAAATGTAATTGCAGTTTGTTTTTAGTTCATGTCGATTGTCGAAAGTGACGTCGTGGCTGCTCCGGGTGTGTGATTACGATTGCACTGTCAAAAGAGCATTCACAGTGTGTGGTTGTTTGGGTTTTATGGGGTATAGGTAAAAAGCATCAAAAGTTACTTCAATACATTTTTGGTCATGCGAACAAGGGTCCAAGGGTGAGATTTAAACTCGTGATTTTTAGCGTGAGAGTTACTTTCTAGATTTTTATCATTAATTTTATGATTAAGTACGGTATTCAGTAGAAATATTATCCATAATAAATACGGAATTCTGCGCACAACACTTTAGGAATTCCCTACAGAATACTCTGACAATTTATTCTACATGTATCTTCGTATTCTTTGTAATTTTTGCGAGAATTTGATTTTCATCATCGTCATTGTCATTTCATTACAGTCATCATCATTTCTTCTTTTTAGAATCTTCCGGAACGCTACTCCGAGTACTTTGGATATAATGTTAAAAAATTTCTTTCGAAAATTTCACAAGAATGTAAATGGCCTTGTCTCAATTTTTTTCATGTGATTTTCAATAAATTCCTTCTATTAATCTATCAATTTATAACATTCAATTCAATGGCCCTCCCAGTAGAGTTCGGCCTAGTACCTATCGAAAAATTCCATGCAACTGGAACTTTCAAAAAAAATATATTATCTATATTATGAAATATAATTTGACAATCTGTTGTTATCGTGGAGCTTTACAAGTATTCAAAATATTGTTATTTTTTCAATTCAGGTGATTTTACAGTTTTGGCCTTAACAATAAAATGCCGTGACTGTTTTTTTTTTTCAGCGACTCCTGTTGCTGAAATTAGGCATAAATGTTTTTTTCTTGTTTTACCATAAAATAAAGGGGGGTACCCGGGAAAAACGGGAAATTCAGAATTTCTTAAGTCCAGCAGCCACCATGAAATAATGGAAGAGTCACGATTGGGCTTTACGCAAAATGCAGTTTGTCAGTACCTGGCGATGAATCGGTTATTTCAGCGCTGCCAGCGTTGAAATTAAAAATCACTCCGCATCACCCAGGTTACAACAATAACTCGATCATAAGTAGTGTGATGTGGTATTTGCAGCTCAGTGGCATTAGAGCGACCGTTTTTGGTTACTGAGCAGAACATCTTGGGTTTAATCTCAGGCTCTTCACAATCAAGAGCTGTTAATTGTTTCTTTCTCCAACATGAACATTTTAATTCAGCGTATCGTTTACCAAAACGATGCCTACTGGAAACCCAACCTTTTTATCCAGCATCCCAGTGATTTCTCGTGGAGTGAAGAGGATTTCTCGGCTTCCAACAAAGGAAGTATCATGTCAACACATTCCTACCTATTACAATTCGGACGTTGCCAGCGGTGGTATTGCCATTGGGACCACATTAGCCAACACCTGGAGATGTTCCGGATACCTTCTGGGAAGTTACTCGAGTTTTTCCCAGGCAACGCTTAGGGTATTCAACTAGATAGGGTAGAGAACTACTTCGTCCTAATCGCCCATTTTGGGCCTATCGAGCAGAAAACATCAAATAAATCCATGATTTCAGAGTTAACAAGTCAATTATGGGTTTGGTACGATACTTAAGTTAATAAGCTACCGAGCGAAGTCAATGAGAACGCGTGATATGAAGGTTTGCACCCATAATTCACAAAAACAAAAGAAGCGCTCCGATCGAATCACTTTTTATCTTCATCCGATAGGCCGAAGTGAATTCATTGGCGTTTCAATATTAAAGCCCATCAACGGTGTTCGGCTCTAGAAAAAGAAGTCAAACGCTCTTGCAGGCGGGACAAGCGAGCGTGGGTAGACTCCTTGGCTGACGAAATACGTGACTGGGTTGGGCAGTTCCTTACCGACCCCACTGACCAGTTGAAACGTTGGTTTAGGCACTTATCGATGTCAGGTTCTGCAGGCCGTAGCTGGTGGCTCCCATAGGGTGGCTCAAAATATCGATTTTGCTTTACCATGCTTAATTGATTCAAAATCAAGTCCTAATCATTCTCCCAAAATTTGAGTTTATTTGGATGCGAACTACATGGACAACAAGGCTGTAATAAAACCAAAATTGCTATTTGGGAAACTGGTTTTCGCAAGTTAGAAAAAGAAATTCAAACAAACAAAAAGTTGTCGCAAGTAGGTACCTACCTATTTTTATTTCATGTGTGCTCAGTAGCGTCGCCTTAACCTCAATCTACCTGTGCACCAACTCTCAAAACATAAACAATTATCAAAACATTGCTTGCAATAGATAGATATCGAGTTAACTAGAAAATTAAGTGTATTTTTCAACCGATTTAAGTATGAATATGACATTAAATCTGTTTTTGAAAGTTGGTGCACAGGTAAAAAGTGAGGTTACGCGACGCCACTGTAGTGTGCTAGAATTAAAAAAAATATCAAATCATAGGGGGCCCCGCAACACAAAATAGACCAGCATGGGTGGATAAGACGGCCTTGACATATACACAGACATTATCTCGTCAAGCTGTGTCGATTGGTTTTTACTTACCTTTCCTTACCAATCAGGCCTTGTTGTCCTCTGATGTCAGAAGAAGTCGTCCCCACTCTACTCGATCCATGGCCACACTGCGCGCCTCTTCTTCTTGTTCCTGTTGGGTCGTTTTCTAGAACCATTTTCACTGGGTCGTCGTGCAGCATTGTTACGACATGCCCAGTCCACCGTAGTCGCCCAATTTTTGCAATGTGGACGATGGATGGTTCTCCCAGCAGCTGGTGCTTTTCGTGGTTCATTAACCTCCTTTACGTTCCGTTATCCATCTGCACTCCACCGTAGATGGTACGCAAAACCTTCCGTTCGAAAACACCAAGGGCGCGTTGTTCCTTCTTGTAGACAGTCAACTTCGTGTGGCGGCGAATTTTATTCGACCGTAGCGTCCTCCGGAGTCCAAAGTAGCCACGATTCCCCGATCCCCTCATCGATCACCTCGTCACCGTCAATCTGAACTTGGGGTGGGAGGCTAACATTGGCTTCCCTATGTTCCCTAGTTCCGTGCCATGATGTCGATGTCATCGGCGAAGCCAAGAAGCTGGATGGACTTCCTGAAGATCGTGACACTCGTGTTTATCCCAGCTCTTCTGATCACACCTTCTAACGCGATGTTGAACAGCAGACACGAAAGTCCATCACCTTACCGTAATCCCCTTCGAGATTCAAAGGGACTCGAGAGTGTCCCCGATACTCGAACAACGTCAGTTTATCCGGAAATCCGTACCCGTGCATAATCTGCCATAGCTGATCTCGATCGATTGTGTCGTATGCGGATTTTAAATCGATGAAAAAATGATGTGTGGGCACGTTGTATTCGCGGCATTTCTGCCGAACCTGCCGAATCGCGAAAATTTGGTCCGTGGTAGCGCGGGCACGGGTTTTAACCCCATTTATTTTACAAAAAAATTGCTTGTAACTTTCATGGATCAGTTTTTTTTTGTGTACAATGTTCAAACGAATTTTAGGGCCAATATACACAACTTTTCTGAAGATACCATGTAAAATATTGTTTGGTCAAGAAGTTATCATCAATTTTAACATTTTGTATACCCTTTTTCTATTGTGAATAGTGGAGAATGGGGAAAGCGCTAGTAGCCATTTTGAAGCTTGAGATTAGTCCTACAAAATAGTTAAAGAGTTATTCGTCAGACTCACCACATTTTGTAGAACGATCGTTATTAACACTTTGGAATTCAATTTTTTTGCGGGGCACCCCAAGCCCAAGCTCGCTGATCTCATATACGTCAGGTAGGTATAGGCGGAGAACTAGGATAAAATTAATTGATTGATAAATGTTTGCATCTATGCAAAGAACGAGTAGCATTTAAAATAAGGAAATATAAATCTCATGAAACTTTCCTATCCTGATTCTCAAAAATGTTTACGTGAATTGTAATTGTCTCGGTATAATTGTGCACGAAGGACGGTGAAATGTTCTTCGGCCAAATGACCCGCTCCCAATTAAACACAAATTCTGCACGACCAGTATATGCTAATAATGCGTAATAATCGTACTTCACATGAGCGTTAGCGTTAGCGTTAGCGTTGTTATGATATACTTCGTAGATTGGATACTAGCGACACTCACGTCTCTTCTGGAATTATCAGTTAGACTACTTTCAGGAATAATGCTGGGGAGTAAACATTGGTTCCAATCTAAACAAGAGTAACAGAAGCATAACTGTCGCTATTCCCGGCCACGCCCATCTCTACCATAACTAGGGATAGGGAAGGAAATGTTGATGTTGACTTACTTAACGAGAGGCCACCGACTTAGCGACACCCTCATAAGTGCTACGGAGTTGGAGGGTTGGGAAGGGTATTCGGTTAGGATTCACCTCAAGTTGGCGATGCAACCAAAAGTATGTATTGTTTATTTGCTGTTTATTTAATCTCTCGATAGCCGGCTATCGAAAGAACATATTCATTTTGTTTAGTGATCATGAGTTTTAAGAGCCATGACGGAGAGCTTGGGATTAAACCCATGAT